TTCGCTCTCCTCTCTTCTTCTCTTTAAAATAAAATACACTTTTATCGCTCTGCAGTGTCTCATAATGGTCCCACAGTACAGCTGTCTCCCTGTCTGGAGCAATAATAATTCTTTGATATCATTCTATCATTCATTATCTAGTAGACCACAATCTCGCTCTCTCTCTTTCTCTCTCCCTGCTTTCTCCTCTGCCTCTCTGTATTGTCCCTTTCATCACCCTCAGTCTATTCCCAAAGCATTTGAGTGTGAGTGTCTCTCACTATCACTTCAGCCACATGTCTGCCGTCTGTGTGCATCCGTGTGCACTGGGTGAACACACATTTTAGAAATCCTTTGTTCACCTCTATAAATTACCAATATCTGTCTCTCTTTGCATTTTTAACCTCAGTCTTAAGTTTTAATTTTTGTTTATTTATCCAAAAAGAAACACTTCCCAGCTGACATCCGGTAAAAGATGACATGTTTGACCGCTTACAGACATGTTTAAAGTTTTTGCAGTGAATTATCCCAAAACTTGGGCTGAAAATTCTGAGGAGCCAGAACAATACTGCGATGTAAACTGTGATTATTTACTGTGAATTGCTAGAATTTAACTCCAGCTTGGCATTTATGATTTACATTGTTTTTATCAACTTATGTTTGCACCAATCCTAATCATAATTCTCACATTCATCTTGTTTCAACATTAACAGAATGAGATCAAATGCTTCCAGGGTTTAAACCAGTCAGAGCAAAGTCAACTTCTAAGTTCATAAATGTGAGCTAAATTGACAAATTTAGCTCACATTTATTAATCTATTATGTCAGTGGTGTATTTAACATTACTCAGTAATATTTAAAAATAATTATGACATTCAAAATGGTGTAATTGTAATTGGTAACAACCATGTCCACTAGTCCACTTGACCACAATGACAAACTGCAAGTGCGTAGCTGTATTAAGCGTTTTGCTTCACAAACTGACAGGACGAGCTGCTTTACAGCCCTGGATTCTGGACCTCCTGGTTCAGGGGTATTTTTCAACCTGGACCCCAAATCATGAAAGATGATGGATCCCTAAAAAGATAGACGTTTTTAAGATCGTTTTTTTAACCAGAAACAGTCGCGATAGCTCTCTCGTCAAAGCTACCAGATTCCCTTGACAAAAATAGTAATTTTACATCTCTGGTCTACTGCTACCTTGATCGGTTAGTTTGTGTTATTGTGTGACTTTTGTGTTTTAAACCCTTAAAAACACCAATTTTAACTGTCACACAATAACACAAACAAACTAAAACAACCAAGTCACACAATAACACAAACTAACTAACCGATTGCGGCAGCGGTAGACTGGCAACTCCCGTATTCTGCGAGGTAAAATTTGTGTTTTTATCAATGGAGTCTGGTGGCTTTGACAATAGCAATATAATGACTGGTTAAACAAAAAGAATCCCTACTCTTTTAAGAAAACAAGCACTTCAGTGGGCGTACTTTGATGGGCCACAAAAATTACTTTGCAGCCCGGTTTTGCTGCTGCCGACTGCAGCTGAGTGTCATTTTTGTTGTTTGGCCACCAACAGAATCAACGTTAATTAGCGACAGCTGGGGAAATTTGTTGGTGACAGTTGTCATTGTAGCTGGAATAAACAGTTGCTGACTAAACCTTTCAGATCTTACAGCTTATTAAAACAATCTTAATTTTGTTAAAGTCGCAGCTCTTTGGATGAGGAAATTGCACTCAAATCACGAGTTTTGTATAAAAATGATTAATCATTCAGCCCTAACCAAATTGCTATTTGCTATTTTTAGTTTATTAATTTTTTTAATAAAGCACAGAATTCTTTTTCAGGGCTTCTACAAAACTAAACAATTTAGTCATATTATATGGGGAAGAAACTGAATACAGTGAGAATGGACAACATGACAGTGATGGATGCACTGTAGCTCTTTAGTCAGTTGCTCTATCTACTGTATTTGGGAAAGGCAAGCTAACAAGAGCATGAGCATCAGTCTATGATAACAAAACAGTAGGTGGAATAAACTTTCTTGGTCCCTGAGGGATTTAGTGCAGGCATTAGACAGATTGACAGAAGGCTGCATATCAACTTGTTTTCCATGTTTTGTGAAGCATACACACACACACACTCACAAAGATACATACTGTACTGTACAGTACATGTATTCATAAATATATTCATAGCAGACTGTTTATTGAGCTCTATAGATAGTAATGGCAGCCACTGCAGAGCCGTACAGCTTAATGAGAGTCAAAACTTGCAATTCCAAATAACTGTGTCTGCAGAATCAACACATATTGAGACTAATGTGCTGTGTCCACAGGTGGATGCATAGTATAAAATACCTAAATAAACAAGCTGAATGTGAACATGGCCCTGGCCCTCGTGCTTGAAGCAGCAGAACTGAAATGAACATCTCTGTCGGCAGCATCAAAGCCTGTCGCAGCAGATCCCAAAGGACCCGGCTAGCCAGCTTGAAGCTCCACCTGTACAGCGCCGAAGCTTTCATCAGCTGCACATATCACAAAACTGCCATATCTGCTAACATAGCTGCTGCTAGCAACTGTGCGGGCTGCTGGTACCCCCACCCCACCCCCACAGAGTCATACTTGTTGAAAGGCCGGGCAACTTCACACCTTATCTGAAGCTTTTGTCGTTTGACACACACAAAGGATGCTGGGATTATGGCAGTGGGGGTTATAAACAGGCTTTGTCTTTTGTCTGTCAGGAGAACTCAGTGACTTAATTACAAAGAATGATGAACTGGGCCAGCTGAAGTTAGTTGTTTTGCAGCTGAGCCATGTAATGAGAATTTCACATCAAAAGATGATTGCGGTGCAAATAAACAGATGGTGTGGTTTAGAATATTGCTCTTTATAGGCTTCCATATTAACCCGGGTTAGAGCAATTAATGAAAAAAGGCTATTTGTTGCTGACTGACCCTTAAGGGTGTAGGTTTTCATAACCAACAGAAGTCAATATGGTTGTTGCCTATAGTGTAAAAACAAATTTTTCCCTCATTCATCCGTTCTGTCACATTTTCTCTTTACAACTTGTGTTTGTGTGTGATTTATTGTGTGTTTTTTGAAGAGTGTGTTTGCATCCCAGCTGGAGTGAAGACTGTTTATATTATTGGCTATGAAAGAGGGACCCCCAGGGGCCTCAGTAATGGGCTGGGAGGCCTCTGACTTCTTGTAATGGCCTCTGAATGTGTGTGTGTGTGTGTGTGTGTGCATGCGTGCGCACGTTTGTGTGTGTGAGAGAGAGGCACAATTGCAGCACTATATAATTGTCAATGAGAGGACACACATTTACAGAATAAAATGAAGCAGATACACAAAGAAACACAGAGCGACAGAGAGAGGGAGCCTGTCCTGCACATAAAGGCACAAACACAAAGAAACACAATGTCTCTCTCTCTCTCTCTCTCTCTCTCACTCAGTCACTCAGTCACTCACTCTTGCACACACACACAAACACACACACACAGAAACTCACACATTGTGGTGCCAGCTGAGCCCAGTGTGTCCAATAACAGCAGGTGCTGTCAAGTGCAAGCACAGCAGACCTGCCCTGACATGGAAACACACACACACACAAGGGTGGATGCACATATGTCAGCACACCTCACACTCATTTATACACCTTCCTCTTTGTGTAACTCTCACATTCAATAAATGTTCTCATAGTTAAAACTAATGTCTGATAGGTGTAGTTTATACAAGGTTACAGTTCATGTGCGCTTTAAATAGTGTGTGTGTGTGTGTGTGCCTTTGTGTGTATACCGTGGCTGTGAAAGGCTGCAGTGTTGCCATATGGTCTCACATTAGGACACTGTGAGCTCAGCCATCCAGAAGTGTGTGTGTGTGTGTGTATGAAGAGAGTGAGAATAATGGAAAATAAAGGCCTTTAGTTGATGTATAAGCTGTTTGTGTGTAAACCCTTCTAGTTGATCATGTAGAACTGTAGATATTGGTCTCTTTTTGGGCTAAATAAACCTAATAATGGTCTTTCTTTCTTTTTTTCTTTCTTTCTTTTGTTAATGTGCCTTGTCCTTTGTCTCCTGCTTCCTCTTCCTCCTCATGTCTCTCTCTCTCTCTGTCTCCCTGTGTGTTTGTGTGAGTGTGTTAATATATTTAGCAGTGCCATATCGTTTGCTGTGCTGACTTCATTAACTATCGCAGCATGAGGCTCCAGTGACTGAATGATAATAAACCTACAGCACACACACACAGCCCTGGGAGCCTAACTGTAATGCATAGATAACTGATTACAGTTTACTTCATTAGGATAAGAGCACTAATTGTACTAATTGAACTTTAAGAAAGTCCGTTATTAAGGAATGGACTCGAAGTTTTCCAAAAATACAAATAGGCTGTATATGAGATCAACTTGATTAAAACAGTGAAGCAATACCAATATTTTAATTTTGATCAATAGTGGAGCCATTGATAATTACAAAATGACATCATAGTAGGGCTTTTTATTATTGACTAATCTGCTGATTATTTCCTCAGTTCATTGATTCATTGTTTTGCCTCTAACATGTCAGGGGGAAAAAATGTCAATCACAATTTGTCAGGGCCCAAGGTGATGTCTTCAAATAGCTTGTTTTGTCCAACCAACAACTGAAATATATTCTGCTTGCTCACTTCAGCAAGTCAAACCATCAGATATTTGGCATTTTTGCTTGAAATTGACTGAAACAAGTAGTCGGTGTCAAAACAATTGCTGATTAATTTACTAACATTTTTAGCTCCACGTCATGGAGTTATATGTTTGTCTGCTATAGTGTATAGTTTAAATGCGGAAACTGTTTTAAATCAAATTTAAGGTTCAAGTGGTGTTAAGGCTCATATCAGCTTTAAGAGGTGATTGGTAATTAAAAGCAGAATGACACTGATGGGTTTACTCTTCACAACATTCCCCTCTGTCTTCCCCTCTGTTGTTGATTTGCTGTTCCTCGCCACTAATCTCCTCTCCTCCCCCTCCTCCTCCTCTCAGGTCAGCGTGTTGGAGCGTCAGGTGATAGATTTCCTTGGCTACCAGTGGGCTCCCATCCTGACCAACTTCCTCCACATTGTGATCGTCATCCTGGGCCTGTTTGGCACGATTCAGTTCAGGCCGAGATACGTCACTGGGGTGGGTTGTACACACTCACACTCACACACTCACTTATTGGAAACAGCCATTTTACACATCCTTTGCCCTAGATTCATAAACAGCCTCTTATTATCCTATACTCAGCTCTCTGCATTAAATAATGAGGACTAGTTGTATTACTGCTGTTGCATAGGAGTGACAGTTTAACCATTTTTTAATTTGAAGTTTATCATTTGTATGTCTCATAGCACAACCAGCCATGAAAATTGTACCATGGTGACGTCTTTAGCTGCACTGTGTGTACAGAACAACATAACATGTTTAACAACTGATCCTCTCTCAGATGTTGAAAGCTTTTTTATTCATACCTAGAGAATGCACTGTGAAACAGCAAAAGCTGCATGTATATAACAAGAAATATGACCCAGTCTGAATAAATCATTTAAAAAAAAAAGCCTACTGGTGGATCCAAGACAAAATAATTCGAGAAAATAATTTACGCTTCAATAAACTTTCAGAAGTTCCCACAGCGGCTGCAGGCCTCCACACAGCCCTCCCACACATCATACAGTATAAACCCTGCCGACCCCTCCCAAAGACCTTCACATGAACACAGAGAACATTAAGCGAGACGATTGAGATAATGACAAGCAATGAAAGTTTGACCTAAGCTCATAAATTCTGCTTTACTTTCATCATTCATTCATTCTTTCCTGCTTATAACGCATTTTTTACACACATACACATGCGCATCCTGCTGTCTATTTTCTCTCTCTGTCTGGTTTAATTCCTGTGATTGGTTGCACTCTTCGCCGCTGTTTTTGTGTCTCTGCATCTTAACTACATCAAAAGTGAAGCCCCCCTCTGTCTTTTCTCTCCATCTCGTTCGCTACAAATGCAAGACGTGAACATGCTTTTCTAATTCTCCAACAAAGGCCTGTCAGGTCCTGTCTGCCTCTCACTTTCTTCTCTCCCGTCCTGTTTCTCTGCAGTACGCAGCCTGGCTGGTCGTGTGGATGACCTGGAATGTTTTCATCATCTGTTTTTACCTGGAGGTTGGAGATCTGTCCAGAGTAAGAAAACAGTTCTTTGGATTATTTCTCCATCCATGTTAAGTTTTCCAATGTTCGTTGTCACTTAACTAAGACCAAGACTGCACTTTTAAAGTGTTGTTGCATGTGGGATTTCTAGAGTTAGTGTGGATCTCTAAGGCCCCAGGTACACTTACAGTTGTGTGTCTCATATTAAAATGAAGATGCAAGTATAAGGCTGGCAGTATTCTATATTTTTCTTATTGTCAGCAGACGCCATGTGAAGTCTAAATCCAGCAAAGAATTGACCCTACCAAAAGTATTGTTTCCTGTGTATCCAAAGCCTGATGTAGCTAATGCTATACTAAAGAACCCCACTGTGGTCCAGAAACAATTAAAAACAATGAGCCACATTGTTGCACTGGGTGACAGGTATATGTTTATCTTACCATAAAAATGGGCACTGTAGTTTATTTTAAGTCTGTCCCACATACACCATCTTGCATTACTCCCATTTGAATAATGTTTATTAAAAACTACAGTAATCAGCTAAATTTCATTTAAATTTAGCCACAAATTTGCATCTTCCTTAGCCAGATCTCAAATCTTATTTTATCTGTGTAGGTTTTCCCATGCTAGATGCAAATCTGGGTAGACCCTATCTCAGTCCAGAGGAGGGCGGTAATGCATTTAAAGCTCTTGGCAATAGTAAAAAGGCCACAAGAAGAATAACTTTAGCTAAGAACTATCCATAATCTAACACAAACAAAAAGTAACACATGGATGGCTCCTCTGAAAGAACCATGAACGAGACAAAATCCATGTCTTTCTCTGTATACGGATCACTGCTCTCTGAAGCTAGACTGTTGTCTTTTTGATATGCTCTCTAAAAGCCAGTGTCTGCACCCGGCAAAGAAGGTGTGTTTGTGAACTACACAAACACACCCTCCTGTGTGATAATAAGATGAGAATTATCTCCCTACTTTGACCGCAAGTGCTGAAATCGCTGAGACGGCTTTCTAGCTGTCTCTTCTGACAGGAAGGGTCACATCATTTTAGCGTCATTTTAGTATAACTTCAGCTGCCATAATCACGGGGGCAAGACCGTGTCAGTGGCTACTTCCACAGACTGCTAACAGTTAGAGGAGTAAAGATGAGATAAGTAAGGCACATCTTGACTAAACATGTGAAAACATCCTGCGGTGACTTCCATAAGCAGATGGAAATCTTTCTCCAATATTTCTTTTTTGCAGTATAGCTCTCTGATTCACCCAAGTCACATTAACTGGCTTAGTGTTAACGGAGTATAATTCTCGCACTGACTCGTAATGATGAGATCAAAGCGTTTCAGTTATTTGATTGGTAGTACAGACTGATAGGGCTGCTCGATTATGGCAGAAATCATATTCACGATTATTTTGGTCAATACTGAGATCACAACTATTTAACACTGTTACTGATTGACTTAGGAAACATAACATGTGAATGTCATCTTTGCTCAGTCCGAAATAAACATGCAACATCCTGGATGAGAGTGAGTTTGGGCTTTTAGGGAGGGTCGTGAGGCGTCGCTGTAAAGGAGAAGGGTGCTCTGGATCTATAACACAAGACAAAATGAGTGTCACTGTGAAACAGCATGCGGCATGATAATCTTTTTATCTTGATTAACTTGATTTTATAATCGTTGGAAGCCAAAATGGAAATTGTGATTACAATTCGATGAGTTGCACATCCCTACCTACCAATATACATATGAAACATGAGCTTAGGTTGTTCAAGTCTTTTCAGACTCAATTTTCAAAAGCGAATCCATTCTACATTTAGTTGATTTTAAATACAGATTATCAACTTAGACAATTAATTAGGGCCAATCAGCGCTTCCATAAACAGAAGAAATCAGTTGACAGGAGTACTGATTATGGCTGATTACACTCTGTGGTGTGGTGTTGAAAAAATGGCTTCCCCCACCGCAATTTGCTCTAAATTACTCGTTCTATTGGACGGTTATGTAACCTGTCTGCTACCAGTTATGGCAGCACATATCATCTATCCTAATCCTCATCCCTTTGGTATTCTCAGCTTTTCGATCATAATCACTGTTAGCTTAGGACTGAAGCGTAATTGCAGCATATTGTTCCGCTACTTTTCCTGTTCCCTCTGGTACTCACTCACTGTTCGATACACTCATCCCTGGTCTGTCTGTTCTCCCAACACACACACACACACACACACACACACACACACACTGTGAGCATTGTTAAGTTTTGTTGCCATCCAAACTATGGCCAGAAGTTTTACAGTGAGTCAACAGTCGTATAAAATCCCCCCATCTTCTGTCTAGAAACCTGCAGCTTCATTGATCTCTGATCTGAACCTATGATTTACACCTCTCACCGTCCCTGAGGCCTAGTTTTAACAGTTACAACAACCACTACAGCTGGGAGGAACTGCTGTTTGGGTTTAGTCTTTATCACACTGAAAATACAAGCCTGTCAGCCATTTTGGAACTAGAGAGCAAGTTAGAAACATCTGGAAAAGCTGCATAATAGCAATTCAAAGGTTAATTGAATAGAATAAAATTAATTATATCACCAAATGTATAATTTATATTCTATAATGAAATTATATGAGTCTAATATTTCTCCTCATTTTATTAGAAAAAGCCCTTCATTAAAGCTTCAGCACTGCAGACCAAAATCATCACATCTGGTCCCTAACGAGGGCAAAGCAGCTAGTTAATTAGCAACACCTTTATCAATTACCTGTGGGCCAATCAGAGAGGAGCACTCTCGAACCAGGCGCTGAACAGCTTGTTTTTATGACCAGAACAGTTTGTGCGTGTGCCTCGCTCAAGGGCACATCAACCTTGACCCAGTTACTGAGGGAGAGGGGAGCCCCCCCCCCCCGCCTGGATTCACCAGCTGTTGTATGAGATATGAATCCATCACCTACCGTTCCAGGGCTTGTTTACTGACCTGAGGGCTATTATTACACCGGACCACATGTAAAACAAGTATGGCTATGTCTGTGATTGTGTGATGTCCAACTTTAGAACAAAGAAAATCATCAAAAGATGATGAAACCGGATGTATGTTCTGTTGGCAGGACTGCAACATGCCGAACGAAAAAGGCTGCTAAAACAAACAGACATCCTTTTATTAATTGCGCTAACAAAAACTTTAGAGAGTAGGGCAGTGTAGGGCAGGTCATGTCTTTGCCATCCTAGCTAGGAAAATAAATATTGCAAACGGGAGGGCGCCAGGAGATGGCCTTGGTATGTTTACAGTTATTCTTTATAAATGAGACAAGAAGTGACAAAAAACAGCAGGGAAAAACATGAAAATGTTTATTAAAAAAGCAAGATAATTAACTTGCTTGTGGACGTAAAGATGTGTATTTTACCAGCAGGAAGCTTCCGGTCTGAGACTAAAACCAATGTGGAAGTCCCTTAAACTTGCATTCTATCGAACGGCCAGCAGGGGGCGACTCCTCTGTTTGCAAAAAGGTTCCATTAGAAATAATGGTAAAATGACCCTACGTCTCATCAGATTTATTACCTCGGTAAACACTTTCATAATGAGTTTATGATCTCAATTGCTAGTGTCATGTCTTCTTCAATACAACATGATGTTCATTTAGTAAATTATGGTCCCATTTAGAGGAAAATAGACCATAAAGCAGAGTATGCTTCAGGGCGGGATTATCTGTGATTGACAACTCGTTACCATGGCGACCTGTCAATCAGGCTAGAGTGACTTGTACCCACGGCACTGTGTAAATTTAACCAAGGCTGTTGAAGAAGTTTATTAGGAGTTGGCTGTTCACACTCTCTGGTGAGTACATTTAGTTTTAAGACTGTTGTTCGCTAGACAAAATTGTCAGCTCTGTTAAAATGACAGTTAAGGTGAATTACAGATGCACCTAGCTATGCAAGCTAGCTAGCTCCACACACGGCTGTTAGCTCCACCGTCTCCTCCAAATATGGTCACGTCCGGTGCCGCTGGCTGCAAAAACTCAACATGGCGGCGTCCTATTGGCCAAACTCGAGACTTCAGAACGGCAGTCCACAAACCAACGGTTGACATCACGTTGAGTACGTCCACTTCTTATATACAGTCTATGGTATTTTAAGTTGGCCAGCTTTTGCTTTTTACAGACTATCAGTAAATGTGAGTGAATGATTCATGTGCAGTAGTCTTTCAACCAACAAAATCTTCTTCCAAGAGTATTATCACTGCATTAATACTTTTAGCTAAACCCAGACAGTAAACAGTATATAAGTGAATACTAGTTAAATAAATCCCCACCATAGATGCCTGTAGCCACTGTAGCATCTGAGATGCGATAAGCACATTATAAAAATACAGTAGGAAAAAGAGACACACTAGACTTAAATGTCTTTACTGTTCATTAACTAAAATTTGACAAAAATATAATCAAATGACTAAAATGTGACTAAAACTAATGTACATTCTCATCAAAAGAGTAAGACTGAAACTTAATCAAAATCAGGTGCCATAGTTAAAGATGTACTATAAACACTGGCCAAATAGGTTATACGCTGAATGCTTGACAGCCCAACAAAAGTAGACACTACAGCAGGGCTGGACTGGTAATCTGGCAAACCGGTCAAATGCCCGGCGGGCCGACGCACCTTTGGGGCCGGTGTAACGTAAGTTATGTATTTTTATATTATAAAAAATAAAGCATGGACAGCGGCCATCTCTTACTAGCCCCCACCCCCTCTGCTCTCTGTTTCTTGCGTTACGGCCCCTCCCAAAAAAATCATCAGATGGCTGCCGCCAAATGCGAGAAAACAATCAATATGATTGCTACCGTGGCTGCAGTAGCTTCAACATCAAGCTGCAGTACCCGACGTAGAGCAGGCACAGGCACTTGAAGCAGTAAAGGGGAGCCGTGGCCACTGCCAGGCAGAGGAGGAGACAGCGAGTGACAAAGTGACAGGGCGAGGGAGAGAGAGCAGGAAGAGAGTGGAGGTGAAGCGGTAAGCATGGAGTAGCTCAACCTGAAGGAAGGGAGCA